TTAAACTTTTTAGTTGGGTAATATTGTTCCAGCCTAGAAACAACAAGAGTCGGCACGACCAAATGTGATAATACACACTGTAACCAGGGTATTCAAGTAGCTGCTGACTTCATATACGTGTTATAATTCAAATCATATCATTGTTACTTATTACATGAAAAAGATCAAAAGTTGGTTTTGCTATCAGCTGAGAGTAGATATACTGTTATCCCATTAGTCTGTTGAGTAGTTTGGAGACAAAGACCCTGACTGGGAATAACAGCTGGCCATGGGGCCCAGGCTTTTTTCCGCACATGAGTAGAGGCTAGAGGCGAGCCAATGAACACTGAAGTACATTAAAGCACCGAGAGTCCATACAAAATTTAAACCAAACGGAAACAAAGTGACAAATCCCCTACATACTGCACTCCTTTGAGAGGTATAAAAACACCTATAAACACACCTGGAGGCTTCGTGGATCCAGTGGCTGGGGCAGGCCGAGCTGTGAAGCAAATATGCTTTTCACAAGAGAGCTGCTCATTGGTGGCAATCCATGGTACATGCCGTCTGTGACAGACTGATAGGCAGAAACATTTCCAGCTGCCAAAAATGTTCGTCTAGAAAAACGGGGAAATTTCTTTAAAAGCAATTATTTATGTTTCTGAAGCACAAAACGTTCTTCAAAGAACTGTGGCAAGGTAACATTTTGAGATATTAACCCAAGTTTCTTTCTTAGCCACCTCATTATCATCCCTCTTTTCCTGACGCACTGAGAACTTCATCCCCACAAATCATAGCCTTCAAGGAGAAGGTTGATATATACTCTAGACTGAGTCAGTTCTGCCTCATGTGGATTCCATGTGTGTCTGAGGAGAAACTGTGGTCTGCAGAGTTTTCAATGACTGATTTTTCTGAAGTAGATCGTCAGGGGCTGTCTCTGGGTAGATTTGAACCTGCAAACTTTCAGTTAGCAGTCAAGTGCATTAACCATATTCTAGACTAGCACACGGATATTTTTAAAAACCTGCAAAGTGGCCCTGAGGAAACCAGCCAAAAGTTGAGGTGCTTGGCTTCTCAGCCTCTTGAGACCCAGGCCACGGTCACTAGGTAGACCCAACTCACATGAGGCTATCTGCGCATGTCTCAGAGATCCCCGGATGACCCTGAAGCATACCTCCACATCTGTGTTTAGAAACCTTTACCCTAGGCAAATGTGAAGATAAAAATCAATTTTAAATGAAGAGAAAAACAACAGAAGTTCAAAGACTGAGAAGCTGAGATTGCTCTCTTTAGAGACCCCTTGATACTACTGTAAAGGAGCTCTAGTGGCATGATGCCTAAGGCATTTAATTGCTAATCTGAAGATTGGCGGTTCAAACCCACCAGCTACTCCATGGAAGGAAGATTGGGCAATCAACTTCCGTAAAGATTTACCACCTCAGAAACCCAAAGGGGGTCGCTATGAGTTGGAATTGCCTCAATGGCAGTGAGTGTGGGTTGTTTTTTTTTTTTTTTTAATACTACTAAATCAGGCTTGCTGCAGGGAGTTATTATACCTTCAGGATATTTTTTCAAGTTTCTCCTTTTCACCACCATCAGCCTGAATATCAACAATATGTTCAGTTTAGAGGCACATTTTGTGCCACATATTTTACTCTGCTCTATAGAGTCCCTTTGAGGGATTTTTTTTTTTTTCCTTCCCTCCCATCCTCAAATTGCAAATGAATTCCATTGTTAAAATCAAGGGTTGGCAAACTTTTCCTTAAAGGGCAGATAATAGATATTTTTGGCTTTGTGGACCATCTAGTTTCTGGTTGTAGGATGAAGAAAGCAGCCAGAGACAGTACATAATGAATGAACATGACTGTGTTCCAATAAAAAGTCCTTCATGGACACTGACATTTGAATTTCAGATAATTTATGTCACAAAATGCTATTCTTCTATTGATTTTTTTTTTTCCAACCATTAAAAAAATGTAACATCCACATAGGACGTGGTACACAGGTCACATATACAAAAACAGCCAGAGACCAATGGCAGTAATTTTTTGACCCCTGCCATAAATAGATGAGACTGATTAGAACAGTTGTGCCATCCAAGTGTTTACCTTTAATGCAAATGGCTAATTCACCTGCCATTAAAGATGCGCTCAGTCCTCAAGCATTTCTCACATTGGTAGTAATAACTCCTGAAGGTTGGTGGGCAACCCAGAGGTGGATGGCTGGTCCTGGCAATGTGACTCCAGCCCTGGTGGACGACAGGACCCATTTCCATCTGGCCCTGTTCCAAGCTCCGTGGAGGCAGGTAGACAGGGGCAGAATGAAAGGTTTGGGCCTGGAAACATGCCCCAGTCCAGCAGCTTGAGCTGATCTATGTCACAGAGAAGCAGGAGCCAGATATGTGACTTTTGTTGTTGGTGGTAGTAATATACTACTCGGTGGTAGCTGCCATCGAGTCATTTCTGACTCATAGTGGTACCATGTGTGCAGAGGAGAACTGCTCCATAGTATTCCAAGTGTGTGACCTTTGGAAGTAGATTGCCAAGCCTGTCATCTGAGGTGCCTCTGTGTGTGTTTGAACCACCAACTTTTCAGTTAGTAGTTAAGCACTGAACTGTTTATGCTATCCAGGATAGGTGACTGTTGTTATTGTGTGCCTTCAAATTTATACCAACTCATGGTGGTCCTAGAGGACAGAGTAAAACTGCCCCATAAAGTTTCCTGGGCTGTAATGTCCATGGGAGCAGATTACCAGGTATTTTGTCCTGCAGAGCCACTGGTGGGTTCAAACCTCCAACCTTTCGGTTAGTGGCAGAGCACTTTACCATTGTGCTGCCAGGGCTCCCTTAGATAACTTTACAGGACCTTTATCTATTGTCCGTGAGCCATCCTTCTCCCTCCTTCCCCCTATCTATGGAAGCATGATGTTTTCCTTCAAAGTAAAGGTTCTGTTCTTTCTGTTCAAGCTCTGGAGTAGTCTTTACCCACTGCCATTGAGTCAGATCCGACTCATAGTTGGACCCCTCCTTGGGTTTCCAAGGTCATAAATCTTTATGGAAGTAGATTGCCCAACCTTCCTTTCGAGGAGTGGCTGGTGG